CGGTGTGGTGCATGGCAGGTTTGACATCATTGGTTTCACCTTGGACTGCAGCCTTGTGTGAACCCAGGGGCGTCACAATGCATATGCACATACATGAATGAAATTAATAATAGATACATGCAGAGCATAATAGGATTTCATATCTTAAAAAATATTTTCGTAGCTTAAAATATATTTCATACTTCATAATTCAAATGCATAAAATTTTTAAAATTATTCTATTATAAGAGGTTACAAATTGGTTGCCTACAAAGGTTAAATTTTACAAGTGCATTCTTGCATAAAACCTTGTAATTAATCATGTAACAAATGCAAGTTATCTAAAAGGACATATGAATATTTATTGCAATATCCATCATGATGCAATAAAGGAGATGAACTTTACATTTGAAGATTTGAAATATAATCCACCATATAAAATAGAATTTTAAAAAATGCACCTCTTTGATTTGTTCGCTCATATATTGATCATTTATCATTAGGCAATATATGATGCAAGAAGCGTAATTAAATAAATGCATATGAATTATTCTCATAATTCCGGTCCTCTTATTCCAAAAACTCCTAAAGTGAAAAGATTAAAGTTTTACCCGGGTAGTTAGCCAGGTAAGGATAGTAATAGAGGTTGATCAAAGATCAATTAAGTACCTCGTTCCTTGCAGAGCGCGTTACGCAACCCTTAAACCTTGCCTTAGACACCAACTAATCTAAGAAAACTTGAATCGGTTCACTCAATGAGTTTTTGTTCCTTAACAGTATATAGAAACTTTAAATTATTTCCTGTAATCATTTAAAATGCCTAGCAATTATACTGCAAACATATGATGGATAAGGCCGAGGAGGGGTTTACCTATTGATGTTCGAACCTCATGATTTTCATGTTTTGAGAGTAAAAACTCATCTGCTGCAGACAACTGCCACTTAAGTTGCTGAACAAATCTGCATTCACTTTTACCACCTTCTGTACTAAGCTTATTAGATGCATAAGCACTCCAAAGTATGGAATTATTAATAATAGAAGGTACCATATTGATAGGTTAAGGAAATGAAAGCATTAAACCACAAAAAAAAAACAATCCAGATATTTCAAAGCATCTATGCATCCAGAGTTTGTTCTCTTTATTCTTGTCAAAACCATGCATATGAAATTTTTTAAGAATAAAAATATACACTGCTGCAAATTTATAGCATGTTTCAAATGCGTGCATATTCACTAGCACAAGGGGATAAGAGTAGGTTTTAGATGATTCTAACAAATATAAACTAGGCTTTTAGAAACCAATAATTGTTCTTTCATATTCGTAACTTGCAATCTGATACATGCTCTAACTTTAGAAGTTTTTTCAGCATTATGAACCAAAAATGTTTAAATGAACAGTAACATTTTTTAATAAAATGAACAGTATAGTTTTTATTTTTAATTAACAGCAATTAAATAAATACAATAAATGTAGTATTTATCAATAATTAAAACCGTTAATATACAATATGTTCATTTGTTGCGGTTCATACATGAAACAACAAAAAGACAAGCTGAGCTCATTTGTTACGATCTCCATTTCCATAACAAATTAATACTATTAATTACTAGATAAACAAATAAATAAAGGAAATAATTATTTCGGATGAATGGTAACCGAAACAGAAATGAACGGAGTAGAAACGTTGAAGCTACATTAATAAATAGTAACAACTACAGTAACGAACATTAACTTTATTTGCTTTGCTGTGATTTTATGGCACATTCTTGAGTACACCTGTGATATATCTGAAAAGAAAAATTATTGTATGAAACTGACAGTAGATGTTAACTACATGAACAATGTGGAAACATGTAACTTAGGGGTGCATGCTTCCAAGCTTATATTTTCAGTGAAAATATATACACCTTTTTTATTTCAGATTCATTTTCTGGATTAATTTTCTGAATGAACAGAAAATTATAAATTATTTTTATTTCGGATTTATAAATTAAATTATTAAAATATTCAATCTTCTAGATTGTTGGGAATTTATTCAAATAATTAATATTATAGCATGTAGATAAATCTGAAAAAATAAACAATTAAAACTGGCCTGATCGGGTGAAGGAAGTTGCCCATAAAATAAAACTAAGATGTAGATGAAAATAATATGTAGGGGAGAGAAGAAAAACAAGAGAAACTTGTTGTATATTTTTCCTTATCATTTTGAGCTCAACATATGGATATATATATAGGGTTGGAAAAGACGTTACAAAACCCGTAATTAATTCCGTAACGTTCGTCATAAATTTTGTAACGTTCCCCATAATTATATGACCGTTACACATATTTTTAATTGCTAATTAAAACATGTTTTAATTATAAAACTTTATTACTATTCATGAAGGCAAAATTGTCTTTTCTTAACAAAATATCTAACAGTTCTTATCTTCAGTCTACCCTCTTGCAAAGGTAAATAAGCCAATTTTCCTTTGGCCCTACTTAAAACCAACTCTTATCTTGTTAACCTTTCTTAAATCTTTCCAATTTAAAATCTAATTCCTAACAACTTCCTTAGTTTTAGTTGGCTAAATGGATGGAAATTAAAGAACCACATATGATGATTTGAGGGACTAATATCCAATAAGATGAGATACAAAGGACTTCTGCCTGAATATGATTTGAGAGAACTTGTATGTAATAGTTGAGATTTGGTTGACTAATATCCCAAGAATCTTAAACTTAAAAATGATTGCATATATCCAAGCAAAAAAAAAAAAAAAAAAGATCGCATATTTGCTTTTAGTAAAATATTACACAAATCAAACCATAGAAATCAGTAATCTATTCCTCTATAATAACAGGAGGATCCAAGATTCACTATTCATGATACTGTAAATGCACAGTAAATTATGTAGCATTTGTAGTACAAACAGGAACATCCAATATTTACTGTTCATGACACAGTAAATTATTGTAGCGCAAGCGAGATTAAAACGCAAAAAACATTACTGTAGCATTAGTGATGTAGCTCAGGTGACACTGTAGCATTTTAAAAATGTTACTGTAGTACTTATAAAGACTATATTTTAATACAAAATTACTGTAGCAAAAATAAAAAAAATGAAAGCCTGGCTAAACACGGGATGCACGCTACTAAATATTCTAAACTCAGATCAAAATATTAACTGATATATTTAATTGATTCAAACCCCGAATAATTACGTGCCTATTTTTCACTAGCTACAAATCACTGTTTGGTGTTCTAGTCCCCCACAGCCAGAAAAATCCATCCCTTAAAAGAACGCAGGCCGTCCACCCAATCATCAAAGCGCTCGCTGCCGTCCGATCTCAACTGGTGGGACCCACAAAGAGGCCCCCCACCCCCCACTATAAATCCGGCGCTGTAGTTTTTGCAGAATTAACATATCACCAAATACTAATAATAATAATAATAAGAGAGAGGGTTGGGGGGGGGAAAAATACTAAACCTAGGGTTTTCCGGACCTTCGATCTCCTTCATCTCGAGCTCGATCCATCGATGGCAAGCGCTCTCCAGTACTTGGAATCGCAGAGCAACGCGCAGCCGGAGCTCGCTGAGTGGTACAATTCGCTCGCCGATCTCTACCAGAAGAAGCTATGGCATCAGCTCACTCTCAAGCTCGAGCAGTTCGTCGCCCTCGCCGTTGTTCAGGTTCGCGTTCTATAATTGATCTAGACTTTATGGATTTTGGATAGATTTTTGTTGGAATTTGAATTAGGGTTTTGTTTAGTGGTGGTCGAATCCTGTGGGTCTAGAATTTTGAATCTGAGGTTGTCTTTGCGATTTTCTAGCATGTAGGAAGTTTGAATTTTTGAAGGTGACAACGTTTTAGGAAAGTCTGTAAGTTTTTGTGTTGAGATGCTAAGAATTAAAAGAATTCTAAACTTGGCAGACTCTTTCGTAACCGTGAGAAGATTTGGGGTGGTTCTTGTTCTTAATTTGACTTAATCGTCTCAAAAGAGGAAGTCCCAGTTAAGTAGGGGCAAGTTATATGAAGTTTTAAGGACCAGGGGTATTAGATTCAATTAGAAATCTGTTCTAATATGATCTTTTTAATATTGCTTTTATTCATGTTTTTGAGAGTGCACCTGTTTGTGTTGGTGGGTTCTTCTCATTTACGAAGAAAATATCTGATTTATGGTTAAACAATAAACAGCGGAAGCTTACAATCTTTGATTGTTTTGATGTTTTTCATTCAAGATGACTTGTGATATATTCAATGATATTCAAACATATAATACTGTGGACCATCCCAAAAGATAACACAAACTGTTCGTTGTCATGTCCATGCCTTGAAATTGACATATTTATGCTGGGTTTGAACATAATTGATCGAGACTACAACTTGATCCGAGTTAATGAAATCAAAGTCTGCAATCTGCGTATAAACCCTGATTTCGTAAAATATGGTTTCAAGTTTAGTCAGTTTGGCAAAGCATGTTTTTTCTTCTAAATATGTGTAGACTGAAGTTACCCAATCACGGTTTCACTAAATTGTAGTTCAGGAAACCACATTTTGATTGCCGAACAATAAAGGATTTGTGTTGTTTGACGTCCGAGCAATGTGAAACCATGGTTTCACTAATTGTAAGCTTGAATGTGTGATGGGGGCACTTGCTCATGCAGCCAATGTTTAATTCGTATTTTCATGTCTGCGGTATGTTTAATTTAGGACTTAAGATTGAAATTCCCAAGAATAGAGCTTTGTTGTAACCTGTATAATATTGGTTTGGCTAATATATGCTTTTCACCTAACATTGACTTTTCATTTCAGGCGGGCGATGCTCTCATACAACTATATCATAATTTCATTACTGACTTTGAGACCAAGATCAATCTTCTCAAACTTGCACAGTTTGCTGTGATAGTTTCACGACAATATTCTGAAAAAGATGCTGCTATTAGCTATCTAGAAGGTGTTATTGAGAAGCTCCGTGCTACCAGGGACTCGCGAATTGAGGAGCCAGCTCTTTATGTGAAGATACAAATAGCTGAATTTAATCTTGAAAAAGGAAGCCAAAAGGAGTGCAAAAAATTATTAGATGATGGAAAGACGGCCCTGGACAGTATGACCGATGTTGATCCTTCTGTCCATGCAAGCTATTACTGGGTATCTTCTCAATATCACAAATCTCGTCAAGATTTTGCAGAGTTTTATAAGGGTGCTCTTCTTTATCTGGCTTACACAGCAGTGGAATCTCTTTCTGAAGCATTCAAACTGGTATGGATTTTGATTTTCCCAACCACAAAATTGCAATGAGCTTTTGCTTTTTTGTCTCCCTCTGCTCTTCTGCATCTTCTAAGTATTATGACACAAATACATTTAGACTTCATTTTTTTTTATAGGATCTCTTTATTGTTCAGTTTTGACTATTTGCATGAATGTTGTAACTAATGTTTGATACTGTTTTCTGCTGATGTGAAATAACTTGTGGCTCAACTGCATATTTCACAGATTCACACTAGATGACTGGCACATAGATGCTGTACGTTTAAGTTTAAGTATTATTTGTAGACACCCAAGCTTAAAGGGGGTAGCTAGGATTTCTTTTGATCATGTTTGGGGAATAAGGAGTCATAGTTTGCTTTTCTGATTCTTTCTTTAAACCTGTTAATGAATGTGAAGAGAAAATCAAATTTCTTGTTTATAATGAAAATAAAAATACGTATCCACATTTATGTGTAAGGATGCACCTCTGCTTGTGTGCATATATGTATGGATGAGTGTAGATGCGTTCATCTGTGATCACAACAGTAGATCTGGATCCTTATAGTTGTTTCTTTCTGAATGTAATATTATATGAATCACAATTCATTTTTTTCATGCCAGCCCATTAGATTTGATGTGGAACACATATCATCGCCTTGTAGGCTTAGGAAGAATTGTTAAGGTTCCTGTGACTGGTCCTTAACCTCTTGCGAAAATGGCTGAGGGAACATGGTCAAGAATGGCTTCCAGTAAAACCTAGAAGTGAGTTGGCTGGCTTCCTTGGTTTCGAGTTCTAGCGTGTATGTTATGCAAATTGAGATTGTAGAACTTAGGGACATTTATCAAGATGTTCCTACTAGACTATTGTCCTAGGTAAAACTATGAGTGTTGATTTTTTTGCTATTTTCTATGATCTTTGAAAGATGATTCGGTTACTGCCAAGTGGTACTTGTAACATGTTTGGTTGGTGTTGTAAGATAAAATTCTTACCTTCCCTTTTCGACTTTTCAATTTTGGGTAGCGGATCAAGTTTACATTGTGTAACTTGGCTTAACCTATATAAGCGCTAAAAGCAATAGGCATGTTTGTTGATTTGGTAGTTTGGTGTTAAAAAGTCAAATTATTTAATCTGTTTCAGATTAAAAATGCTAGAGATTTTTCCTTGAATGGTATAAGCTATGGAATATGGAAGACTGGAAGTTAGGTAAAATGCAGCAAGTGGTCTTCAATAATTCATTTTAGGTTCAAACAACACTTCAGACATGGTGCATAGTGGATCATTTACAAGTAATGAACCACGCCCGAAGCTTACAGATATGCATCTTCAGCAGTGCGATTTTTCTCGGGATACCTGTCTGAATTTGCCAAGTTCTAGATTCTGGAGATTGTTTATTCTCTGCTTTTGACAGACAAGGTTTATGGGTACAAACCGGCTTTTAAATCTCTTATGTGCTATTAATTTATTTGGAATTATTTTCTTGGTCTAGACTTGTATAAGTAACTTTTACCATAAATGCTAGGAAAATATGAAGAGTGAAGAATTTTGATAATTCAAAGATCTTTTTCATCCTCCACAAAAATCTGGACGCAGCACAGTTGCTTATTGATTATTGATTAAAATTAAGATGTCCTCTTTGTACTGTATTAGTCATGGGCATCCTCTTCTTATTTCCTTGTACATCGTTGGAGAATTTTCTGCACCTTTGCATTGCAAGATGCAATTAATATTACTTCCAAAGTTAGTTGGTAGAACTTCTTGAAGTTTCAAACTTGTGGAACTGGAACCACCCTTTTCTTTCTTTAATCTGATTGGCCTGATTTGACCTTTATCCCAAGTAATGAGATTAGTTTACAAAAAATCCGTTTGCTACATTCAACTCTAGCAGTACTGCGATCTTTCCTCTTGAATTATTTACTGCTTGCTTTCTTTTGAATTCTCACCATACCCTCTTGGTTCTATTATGAGTTGAATTTTTACCCACTGCATTATTTCTCCTTGATTGACTGAGCGGCTATAGGGATGACTACATGCATTGTTTTACTAATTTCTCTATTTGTCGTTCCCTTGTTTTTCAGGATTTGGCGTTTGACCTCTCTCTGTCTGCTTTGTTGGGTGATAATATCTATAACTTTGGAGAGTTGCTAGCCCATCCAATTGTAAGTGAAATTTTACTTTGACCTATGACTGAAATTTTCTTTCAGAGGTCTAATGTTCTATAATGGATAATTATACCAGTGTAGAAAATAACGCGTTCTGTAGCGCAAAATAGTGCATAGCGTAACGTAGTGCCACCCTATCGCTACGTAGTGCTGGGAAAAAGCGCAGAAACAAAATAACATACGCTATTTTACCCATAGCGTACACTTTGTAACGCGTTTTCATAGCGCTCCATAGCTTAGGTTAAATTATTCAAGGGTTGGGATTGATTTTTAAAAGAATTTTAATGGCTGTGATTGAGTTTTTTTTTCAAATTAATCCGACTTTGCACTGAAAAAATTAAAAAGAGATCAAAGAATTACTAATTATTTTTTTGCTAATTAACTAGATTTAGAAGTAATAAAAACTGATACTTTTCTTTCAAAAATAAAAGCTGAAACTTCACTTGGATTACTATTAGATGTTTTTAGATTTATGATGTGCTATTACCTATTACAACTTACTGTGATAATGTGTGATGTATATTTTTTTTAACGACTATGCTTCTGGAATGATTGTTAAGGCATACATGGTTGATTTTGTTGTGAAATTGTGATGATATATTGATTTGTGATAGTATTTTTATGATGATATGTTCGAAAACTGTGATGAGTATTCATATTATTTGATTTTGAATATTATGTATCTATAAAATATTTAAATAATAATAAATTATTTAACATACGTTAAGAGTTTTACGTTAACCGGAGGTAAGCATTACGTTATGTGTTAGCGCTATTTTCAACATTGCATTATACATTAACTTTTTTTAAACATCTCATCCTAATTTCACTATTGTGGTCGAGGGAGGAAGCAAGGCTGACTATATTGGATATTTGGATATTTGTGTTAGTAAATGGTTGAGGAGAGTGAACATTAGCTTGGTTTGCAACTTAGGATGAGAAAAGAGGCCATGTCCGGGGAAAGGATTCTTCGTGGTTCGGAAGGGAGGGTCAACATAACATTGACTAATTGTGTTGGACATGCATGTAACAAATGGTTGAGAAGTAACTTATTGTATTAGATGTCTCAGTTAACAGATGGTTGAGAAGTGGAGACAACATGGTTCATTTGCAACTTGAAAATTGAAAACTTCTAACTTATAAAGTTACTATGTAAAACAGGTAGTAAATATTTGAGAACAATTAGAAGAGTGACAATCCATTCCCTATCAGTAGGTGCGTACATCAAGAGCTGTGTCATCTCTTTGCTTTGTGATGAACTCATTAAGCAAACAACGGATGTGCTACATGGTTATATGAAGGTCATGACCATCTAAAAGAGAGATTCTAGGCTTGAATTGACATTTTGACCTTCATTATTGATTTCTAGCAAGTAGTAACTGATATCTGGAGGAGAATTTTTTTTACATTACTAAATGGAACCACATACCTTTAGTAGTGATCTGTTCTCAATTGAGTAGTTCAAGGAGATACGTGCGCACCAATTTTCTAACATATCAATAAACAATAGTCATTATTGGTGACTCCGGAATGGATCCACATAATACCATATTTTAATTAATGTTATTTTATAGCTCTAACCATAGCTATATTGTATGCTGTACGTAGCAGGTTATGGTACGGATCCGGGTACGCAATTTGCCACTTAGAAAAATTGGATTCGTTAGGTGGTGCCTTGCTTCGATACGCAAGTTCGATTAGTGATATGTTGAAAAACTTTTCGGGTGCGTTTAAAGTTTTCCAAAGTATATAATAGAAAACTAAAAAGCTAATTATGACTTTTAGTATTTTTTCATACAAAATACTTAAATACTTTTTTTTATGGATTTTGTTTCTTTGTTCTATTTTTCCCCCCACAGAGCTTGTTTTAGGATCATGGTTTCGTTTTACATTTAATTAACATTAATGTTTAGTTACAGTAAAGTCATCGGCTCATACTCTATTGTGCATCTCCCTTCACTTAATTTTGCATTGCATCTTGTGCACGTGCACTTAAAGAGACTTTGCGTCTATCATACACGTAAGTGCTACGCCAATTTTGGGGAACCGGTTCGTGTATTGGAGGGAATCAATTCGCAAATGTACCGGGAATCGGTTTGCAGGAACTGTACGATGGTTCGAGTGGGTCCGGGGAATCACACAACAATGGCTCTTAACTTTCTCTTTCTGGCCTCTTTTTCAGTTTTTAGTGTTCTGTTATAACTGCAATTTTACCATGCCATGCAAAACTCTGTAGATATTTTAAGGCTATCCATGTTCTCTTAAAGTTGGCAGCTGTGCTTTGTGTGTGCTCTCGCATAGGGGCGTCTGGACTGCCTTTAACAAGAAGACCTATTCGATTTGTCGGACTACAGACCTCAAGTTTTGTTTTGAACCTAGATGTACAACTCGAACATCCTAGTTATAACCTATATTTTCTTTGGAGAATGGTTGCAAATAGGGGATTCAGCTTTTTCATGTACCACGTCGAATGCAAGCATTATTGCATTCTAGTCTAGTTCATGTGGATTTCTGTTACGAAATTTCATGACATGCATTCTCGACGATAAACATTATTTTAATGTCCTTGGATGAAAAGTTATTTTTTATCAATGAGGGGGATGGTGACATGCACAACCTTTATGGACTAGGTTGCATGGGTACGGGTAAGGGTACGAGACACGACAAATTTGTAAAAAGGTAGGGTACAAGGACACGGCTCTATATATGCATGTTACATATAGTTAAATGTACTAAAGTTAATAATTTACATAAGATCAATATTGTTTTTTTTCATTTACATAAGATCAATATAAGAAATAGATGTATAGAATATACATCCAAGAAGTGTACGAGTGTTTTAAACTAAAACATGTCTTATATAATTGTGTATAGGCCCGAATAAACATATGCACATATTCAAGAAGAGTCCAAGAGGTTTGGGTACAGGTACGAGTACGTGTTGGGTATGGGTACGACTTCCTAACAGAAGTACCCAAGTAACATAGATTACGGACGATGTGTAGCTAGAGTAGGTTGGTGTCTTATGCCTGGTCTCTAATAGAAATGTAGACAATTTGATTTATTGATGCCAAAAAGGAACTAATTGCATCTGAGGTTAATGGAGTTTTACCATACAAATATGAATTTCATTAGGACAGTTGATAAATGGTATCCCAGAGAAACAATATTTCGACTGTGCATTTATTTCATTAACCATCTTGCATGTTTCTTTGTCACATATATTTTTATATTAAAGCACCTTTTGGAATTCACATTGCGCGCTTATTGCTTTTCCTTTCACAATCTGATTTTCGTACTCAGAGGCCTTTTTCTGGTTATAAATGTTGAGAGTTCATAACCTTCTGCAGATCAATAGCCTTATAGGTACCAAGGTGGAGTGGCTTTATTACATACTTCAGGCATTTAATACTGGAGATTTAATTCGCTATCAAGAACTGTGTCGGGTTCATAATGCTGCCCTGAGTGCTCAACCTGCATTGGTGGAGAATGAGAAGAAGCTGTTAGAAAAAATTAATATTCTTTGCTTGATGGAGATAATTTTCAGGTAAGATATCCCTGTTGGATAACGGACTCTCACTTCTTCCTCTCTGTCAACTTTTTCTTGTTTCTAATCTGTGGTTGAAAACCTGTTGTTTACCTTGCAGTCGTCCCTCTGACGATAGAACCATTCCGTTGAGTTTTATTGCTGAACAAACTAAACTTTCCATAGAAGACGTGGAATATCTTCTCATGAAAAGTCTCTCCGTAAGTTTGTTTTCCAACTTTTTTAATCAAGCAAGTCTGTAGCTAACATCTTTCTAGATGAGAGTGGTACTCTAAGCCAAGAACTGGAAGCAAATAGCTCCTTAGTTTTGCTGAAATTATTCAAGTGTCAATCACTGACCTGCGCTTTTTCCATTTGGTTTGCTTGAAGGTGCAATTTCCTATATACCATTTGTAATCATCTTACACTTCATCTAAGACCATTCCTTTGTCTCGGATAAATTTTGCCACTTCAAGTTAATCTACATGGCCTATAAGACAACTTTCTCACCTGAAGACTGCTATTCGAGTTCATATGATAAGCCCTTGTCTGATCCATGATTTTCTCACTACGAATTTTGGCAGCATTGCAAGGGCTTTCCATATTTTTGCAGAACATTCTAAATTCAGCTTTTTTTTAATGTGGATTTCATCAGATCCCACAACTATATATGCTGAGCTAGCATTCACTCCATCCTTCTCTTCACTTCAATTGAATATCTTATCAAATTTATAGATGTTCCATTGTCATGATTCATGAGATTAATGAAACGGTTAACCATGCACAGGTACACCTTATTGAAGGCATCATAGATCAGGTTGAGGGAACAGTCCACGTCTCGTGGGTGCAGCCTAGGGTTTTGGGGATACCCCAGGTAAAGTCGCTGAAAGATCGTTTGAACAGTTGGCTAGGCAAGGTGCAAACTGCTTTGTACTCAGTCGAGGCAGAAACACCCGACCTTGTGGCTTCGTGAATCATGTCCTCTCTACCTTCTCTGTTTCTTGCCACCTCAGTATAACAGTTTATAGCAGCACCAGAAATGCGAGAAAGCACACGCTTGATGCCATGCTCTCTGCTCTTCCCCATTTATTAGGAAATCTGTGATCCGAGCAGTCAGTTTGCACCGGGGGTCTGTATTTTCGTTGAGTTATTCGGGAAGCGCTAAAACTAGAAATATGTTTACGAACACAGAAGGATGTGACCAGTAACTGCTGTTTTGAGCTATTGCTTTCGAGATCCTATCGCAAACTTAATTTTGATCTCGAACAGTTGGATGCCTTATTGCATTTACAGGAAAAAGTTATTCCTTCTTCTTTTTCCTCCGTGAATCTTATTATTGCAATTGCCAATTTTGCAGGATAATGTATCATTTTATTAATGTTTTTGAGTTTTATGCAGCTTAGTGTTTCTGTGGTGCAGCCCTGCGCATGAATCATCGATTGAGTAGTAATACTCAGAATATTGTTGAATTTTAGAGGCTTTTAGTTTGTAAACTATTATCCGCAATAGTAATAGTAATGTTACTGATTGCAATTCTTGCAAAAATTGCTGGAAGGTGATTGTTGGAAATAGAAACTGAGACCTTCATTCAATCTGCTTCCACATAATCTAGAAATATAGCTGTCATTTGATCTTTGTTAGTGGATTCTTCTTTTATAATCATCTGCAAATTTCTAGAACATGCTGACTGATAAAAATACAATATTTTCTAGAATATTAACTTATGATATATATATCCAAATAAAATTATAACATTTTCAATCGTTTATCGGAAAAAGAAATAATTTTCTTTAACCGGATCGCTAAAAAGAGGTAAGAGTTGAGAAACAATTTTTCTAAATGTGAAACCAAGATTTCCTAATTTTAAAAAAAATAAAGACGAAATATTCATTAATGAGTGTACAAACATGATACTAAAAGTTATTTATTTATTTATTTATTTATTTATTGTGCCTTTTTTTTATTAAAAAAAAAATTCTCCAACGTTAGGTTTGACCCTTTCCTACATGCATGGACTAATGACCAGCCCCCGCCTCCTCTCCACATACATTGAACACCAATAGCCACCAACCAAAATACCATTTTGACGCAAATTCATTCTTAACAATGTCACCGGCCGGGTGACCATAACACTAGTAGCCCTCACCTACCCCCCCCCCCCCCCCCCCCCCCCCCCCTCCACTTCAACGAGGCGATCAAATCTTATTACTCATGTGTTTCTGTTGAATCAAAATTAAGAAGCAAATAAATCTCCATCTCATTTTGACTTCCCTCGGGGAAAAAAAACCCAACTATAAATTGGGGGGAGGAGCCGATCTTGGCATCTCATCGGGCGAAGAGAGTCTCAAGGTCTGAGCTTTCTCTCTCTCTCTCCTCTTTCTGTTTTTCTTTTTTAAAAAAACCCTTGTGGTGGTAAAAATTTCGACTTTTGGCTCCTTTGATGGGATTGACATCTGGGTTTTTCTTGCTTTTTGAGATTACATGGGTTTGAAGTGATTGTAGTAATGGGTTTTTGTAATAGCCCAAACCTTTGTAGTTTAGATAGGATTATGTAAAGTCTTAGATGACAAATTGTAGTTGTGCTAGATTAATTTTCTTTGCAGACATCTAAATGTTCTCTCTTTTGAGTAGATCTCATGAATTATGTCCAGATTAAAGTCTGGTGCTTGTCCTTGTGTGCTTTATAGATCTGGATCCAATTTTGGTTGTAACTTTAGTTTCTTTATCTTTTATATACATCAATTTTGACTACGAGTGCTTTATGGCCTGTTTGGATGGAGGGTAGAGAGGGGGAAGGGAAGGGAAATTTTATTTTAATCTTGTTTGGGAGTTTTATTTTGGAGGGTAGAGGAGGGGAATGGAGGGGAAATTTGGCCCAAATTCTTACACCCCAAATTGGGGTGTAATGGAGGGGAAGGGAAGGAAGGGGAAAAATTCCCCTTCCTTCCCCTTCCTTCCCTTCCCTAAGTAAACTCCCAAACGCACCATTATAGAATCGTGGAATTAGGGTGGAAAAGGTAAGAACTTTACCATGAAAAGATCAGAATTCTTTGAGATCGCATTTTACGGTTCTCTAGGCAATCGTCTTCATAATATATTCGTTGCATTTTCTACAATTTGGGAGTCTGCCTTCTCGAATGTTTTCGTTTGTTGCAGAGTTTAGCCAGCATCAGAAAGACGTACCTAAGCAAAGCCTTTTTATTTTTTAATTAAATTAAATCTAAAGTTGAAGGTTTAATTTTTGACGATGATCTTGATACGTTGAACTGAAACAGTTTAGCAAGTTTTAAATTCTGCTTGCTCTGTGAAATATATTAAACCCTGCCTTATGATTCTAGATCTAGACAATCTTATCTTACTAAAGCGAATAGTATATCTTTTCGATTTTGCCTTGGTGAATCCACAGAAGAATATTTGTATATTACAATTCTCTATGAAATAAATCGTAATGAAATGGTATTTAGTAATTTCTTTATCATCCAAGTTTATATAATAACCTCATAGACTTCAAGAGATAGTTATGTTGTAGGGTAAAGTATTTGCTAACACGTTTATGTCACAAGTAATAGCCAACCATGCCACAATATTCTGCAGTTTTTGCCTGTAAGACAAAATTACTTCCTGTAATAAAAATATGGAATGTTTTCTTTTTGGGGGAATATTATATTACTTTAGGCTTTAGTGAAGAACAGGTTAAGTATCTGCCAAGAACACTACTATTACTACTTAATAGCTTTAGCTGAAGGATTGGTTAAGGATAAGGGAGTTAGAACTAGACTAAAGGAACAAATTCTGAACAAATGCACTGTCCTTTATGTCATTTTTAAGCACCTATTAAGTAATTGCGACACTTCTTGGAATCATTTTTTTTTTATGTTGCTATTTTATTTAGACCAAGGCGCTGTCTCTATTGTATATTTGTGGATCCTCTTTTGCCAAATACCCATGAAAAAGCAATGAGTGCATGTTTGTTTATGTGCTCAAGCATAAGTGAATTCCATCTTTAGCTTATAATAACATTCTTACTGATACTTTTTAAACAATGAATTTTTTTTTAATTTTTCATTGACTATTTTAATTAAACTTATAGGCATAGAAAATTTATTGAAAAGAGTTGCATGAGCAGCACACGTGCTACATTTATAGCTACAAGCTTGGTAGTAGTAGTGTCTAATGAAGCACTATTGATGACAATATAGCTTCTTCCTTCATGATCAAACATTTGTGTTTTGTGAACCCGTTCAATCTCTTCTTGTATTACCACCCTTTTTCCCCTTTCCTCTATTCGATGAGAAGAGACTATCTGTGAGACATTTTCTGCAAAATCTAATTACTCTTGTTTTTCTTATAATTTTATTTCTTCATTCTTGTCATCTTGTTGGATTTGTTCCCATATTGTATTTGCTCTACATATTGTGATTGGTTTACCTTTTTTTTTTCTTATGGGGACTGAATATCTTTCACTTCTCTTGGCTCATATTGATGAAATACATTTCCTATTCTTATAGCTTTCTGGTTTCTATTATTCACCTCTTTTTGCCTTATTAACCATAGAATTCCACTCAGTATGTTCGGCAATTGGTATCTGATGACAAACTGCTCATTAACCAGGTAAAAGATGGCTCAAACAAGAATAGGCCTAGCAGGTCTCGCTGTCATGGGCCAAAACCTTGCCCTAAACATCGCTGAGAAAGGCTTCCCCATATCTGTCTATAACCGAACAACATCTAAAGTCGACGAGACTGTAGAACGAGCTAAGCGCGAAGGAAACCTCCCCCTCTACGGCTTTCATGATCCCGCGTCCTTCATCAACTCAATCCAAAAACCACGTGTCGTCATCATGCTCGTTAAAGCTGGTGCACCCGTGGACCAAACCATAGCAACACTCTCGACCTTCATGGAGAAGGGTGACTGTATAATCGACGGAGGCAACGAGTGGTACGAGAATACAGAGAGGAGAGAGAAAGCCATGGCTGAACTCGGCCTTCTTTATCTCGGAATGGGAGTTTCTGGAGGTGAGGAGGGAGCGAGAAATGGTCCTTCGCTAATGCCAGGTGGCTCATTTGAGGCTTACAAAAACATCGAAGACATTCTCCTCAAAGTAGCTGCTCAAGTCCCGGACTCTGGTCCCTGTGTCACTTACATTGGCAAAGGAGGCTCGGGCAATTTTGTGAAAATGGTTCACAATGGAATCGAATATGGAGACATGCAACTGATTGCTGAAGCATATGACGTTGCAACAAGTGTTCACAGAGTGGAACAAGGGGGAACTCCTTAGCTTTTTGATTGAGATCACCGCTGACATTTTTGGAATCAAAGATGATAAAGGCGACGGTTATTTGGTTGACAAGGTCTTGGACAAAACCGGGATGAAGGGAACAGGCAAGTGGACTGTTCAACAAGCAGCAGACTTGTCTATTGCTGCTCCTACGATTGCAGCGTCCCTGGACTCAAGATTCCTCAGCGGGCTTAAAGAAGAAAGGGTTCAAGCCGCAAAGGTTTTCAAATCAGGTGGTGTCAGCGACATCTTGAGCAGTGAGCCAGTGGACAAGGCAAAGCTCGTCGACGACGTGAGGCAAGCTCTTTACGCCGCGAAAATTTGCAGCTATGCACAAGGGATGAACTTGATCAGAGCCAAGAGCTTGGAAAAGGGGTGGGATCTAAAATTAGGCGAGCTTGCGCGAATTTGGAAGGGAGGATGCATTATCAGAGCTATTTTCTTGGATCGAATCAAGAAAGCGTATGATAGGAACACAGAGCTACCTAATCTGCTCGTGGATCCTGAGTTTGCAAAGGAGATAATGGATCGACAGGGAGCTTGGCGCAGGGTTATTTGCCTTGCTATTAATTCGGGTATTTGTACACCCGGGATGTCTGCGAGTTTGGCGTATTTTGATACTTACAGGAGGGAGAGGGTGCCGGCGAATTTGGTTCAGGCTCAGAGGGACTACTTTGGAGCTCATACTTATGAGAGGGTTGATATGCCTGGTTCTTTCCATACAGAGTGGTTTAAGATTGCTAAACAGTCAAAGATTTGAGGTGAGTTTTTCCTCACTTTATCATGTTGTAACCTTATTCAAAGTGTTACGGATTATGTTGTTTACTTCTATTTCTATCTAGAGTTTATTGATTGTGTGTTGAAGTCTCCATTTTTTTTTTCTCTTAATGAATGTGATGAAACTCGGAACACTTCATGTAGTTTGTGGAGAGGCATAAAGACTGATTCTCTTTGTTTGGAATAAAATCAACTGGTTTGAATAATGGGTTTACTTTTTTCTGATCATTTGTCCTATTCATTTGTACCTTGCATTCAGTTCCCCTGCAGGCCATTTGTACATCTTTGGTGTTCACTTTGTTTTGTGAATTCATGTTAATAAGATAAATGGGCAGAGAGAGATGATGCAGAGAGTTGTTATGTGCACCTCTCTTCCTTCCTCTTTGATTTACTGCACTAATAAATATATTGATGTTGGTTTGTAGCCCGGAATTGACTTGATCTTTTGGGTCAAGTGTGTTGGTTTCGGGTTCAAAGTTTACTTGTCGCGGTGAAACAAGCAATTGCAACTGATTTTGTGAGTTGATAAATCCTTTTTCCGAAAGAAATTATTTTTTAAAAAATTTATAATAAAACGGTGTAGATCCTCGTCGACGACGAGGGATACAATATGACCTGTGACGATGATTTTATGTTGTGTGTACTTGTTGACGGAGAGAAACGCAGCTCGCTGGTTCCTGATGAAACAACAAAAGATGTATTAATTGCGAAATTATCTACAGAGAAGAATCTCAGTATGATCATTTGTAGCTGAACATCTACAAAGTGAGCTAAACACAACGGAGTTAAGTACTTACAATTATCTACAGAGGAGGTAATTACACGTACTAAACTGTGTGAAATGCTAACAAAATGAAGCTCAACTTGATAATTTGTCGTTGATTAATTTGACGGCAGAAAACTACAGCTACTCCACGATATAATTGGATCTACTTCTATCTTTCCCATGATTTTCCCTGAACCTTATCCATCCAAATGGACCAATGAGCCTCTACGTAGCGACCCCAAAATGCAACTCATGGATGAGATCCAACACAACAAGAGAATCCCCAAGAGCAGTCTGAGCCTCAAACGTGCAGATAATCCCACACCACAAACTTCCCTCAAAAGACACTAAACTCCTCCAAAATTACCACTTTCTCCCCAACACATTCCCCTCTGAGAGTAACCCTCCCTAGTTTCTAAACAACTTCAACATTATGCTTCTCCCTTCCTTTGTATGATGATAGGAGGTTTAGCTCAAATTCAACCCTTCACAGTACCACCAAGCAACAACCCAACACAAGTCTCAGAGCACAAACCAATAGATCAGTCCCCATGCCCACCTTCACTCAACCAAGTGAAATCCATGGAAGAGTTCAAACAGGCCCATGCCCGGTTCATCAAGCTTGGGTTCGACCAGAGCCCTCGCCACGCCGGTGAACTCCTCTCGGTTTGTGCTCTCGCCGACTGGGGAAGCCTCGACTATGCCTGGTCCATCTTCTCCGGCCTCGACAGTCCTGGTATTTTCGACTTCAACACCATGATCAGGGCGAATGTCAACCATTCAGACCCAAATGCAGCATTGCAGTTGTATTATGATATGGTACAGTCAGATGTGAAGCCTGATAACTTCACATTCCCATTTACTGTTAAGGCTTGTGCTCAGCTCTCAGCATTGAGAGAAGGGATGCAGGTGCATGGCCATGTTCTAAAGTTTGGATTTGACGATGATGTGTTTGTGAGCAACAGTTTGATAAATATGTATGGTAAGTGTGAAGAGGTTGATGCGGCTTGTAAAGTGTTTGAGCAGATTGGGGTTAATAAGACTGTTGCTTCCTGGAGTTCAATTCTGGCTGCTTATAATAAAATGGGCTTGTGGTCTGGATGCCTAAACTTGTTTGCAACAATGATAAATTCAAGCTCGATGCCCGATGAGAGCTCCCTGGTCAGTGTGCTCGCCTCGTGTGCTCACTTAGGCGCACTTGATATAGGCAGAAGCATACATTGCTCATTAATGAGAAATTTCAGCGGATTGAATCATATAGTCCAAACTTCGCTCATAGACATGTATGTAAAATGTGGGTTATTAGAGAAGGGTCTGTTAATCTTCAATCAGATGCAGGAGAAGAACAAGTGGGCATATAGTGCAATAATCTCCGGGCTAGCAATCCACGGGGATGGCGACAGAGCATTGACAATCTTTGCCAACATGCTCAGAGATGGGGTAGAGCCTGATGAGGCTGTCTATGTTGGAGTATTGAGTGCATGTAGTAATGCTGGGCTAATTGAAGAGGGTCTTCAGTACTTTAAGAAAATGCAGTTGGAACACCAAATTGTGCCCAAATCGCAGCATTATGGATGCATCGTTGACCTCCTGGGTCGGGCTGGAAAAATCAACAAGGCCCATTCACTCATTGGGTCCATGCCAGTTGAGCTTCAGACTGATATAGCCTGGAGAAGCCTACTGAATGCATGCAAGATCCATGAAAATATAGAGATGGCAGAATGTGCAGTCAGAAATCTAGTGAAAGCCAATTGTGCAAAGGCTGGAGACTACGTAATTTTGTCAAACATGTATGCAAAGGTTGGGAAATGGGATGATGCAGCAAGGACCAGGACTAAAATGTTCGACCGAGGACTCACTCAAGTACCTGGGTTTAGTCGTGTCGAGGTTAAGGGGAAGATGCATACCTTTGTTTCGATGGACAAATCTCATCCACAAAGCAATGAAGTACATGAGATGCTCTACCAAATGGAGTGGCAGCTGAAGTTCGAAGGATACCAACCGGACACATCAGAGGTGTTCCTGTTTAATGCAGGTGGGGAAGAAAAGATTCAGGCGCTCAATGGCCATAGCCAGAAACTTGCAATTGCTTTTGGTTTATTAAATACAAGCGAAGGAGATTCGATAAGGCTAATTACAAACCTGAGGATGAGTGGTGAGTGTCATAGCTATACCAGACTGATCTCTAAGATTTTTGAGAGGGAGATTGTTGTCAGGGATCGTAACCGCTTTCACCACTTCAGGCAAGGAGCTTGTTCCTGCAGAGATTACTGGTGAGAGAATGGAACAAAAAACAAGGATTGTGAAGTATCAGTCCACAACAAGAAGCTTTACATTGGGAGGTCAGACCTGGGGTATTTGTACATTTTGCAATGTTAATTATTTCATTTTTCTGTAAATAAAACTGCTCATAAGCCCAAAACACAAAATTCTGGAGCAACGGTGAACCTTTACTAAACCAAAACAGTCAAACAGAGTACTCTCTTGATGTTTGTTTTATTGCTATGATGTTTGTTACAACCTCCTCGTACACATAGATCAAGCTTCAACAATCATGCATTTGAGTAACAATTCAAGAGAATAATATCAATGTTAATTCAAATTTATGGAGGAAATAGCTGATGATAGTCCATTCGCTCTAGGATCACTTCTTTCTAGCAAAACTCCACGAGGATCTTCTCTAACAAGCATGGGCAGAACCCCTTGCGAGCTCCATGATTTTCTTACAGCATCAGTGGCTCCTTCCAGGATGATTGCAAAAACAGCATCAAAGCCGCCTGCTCCTGGAACGCCAGCTAATAGAACTCCTTCCATCCTCATGGTGGCATCCAGAAGTCGAGTTTGTGATGCTGGTTCTATCTGCATCATTCAAAATGAAAAACGAAAAATGAAAAATGGAAAATGAAAAGTGAAGACTAGTAAAATGGTAACTAACCATGACAAGCTGATTGATCCAAGTATTCTGTCTATGAATTCTAACATTAATGCAAAAGAGAAAGCCAAATGAATGATCTCAATTTTATGGGACTTGGTGCATAAGATCCGATAAAAAAAACAATGAAATTTGTTTGGCACTGAAGACAAAAAGCAGCAGCGTCGACACAAAACCAATGAAGCATAGCACCGCACACATAGTATCATGTTTTGTATTGGTAGTGTTAATTGAAACCTTCAGCCTTGCAAATGACAGGACAAGTTTAGCATTCACAAAAGTAGTTATCTGGAAATAGCAAAAAGTAGGCATGGAGCCAAATAATAAATGGCTATGAAATTCATGATCGTTCCAAATCAGATAAATTTGCGATAAGTAAATTCATGCACAAGCATGTGAGATTAAAGTAGGAGGAGAAACAAATAGTATAATTAGCTGTGATAATAAATCAAGGCCCATCAAGAATTTTGTTGGCAAGCAAAGAATTGATCAATCGTCTACAAAAAATTGCAAAAACCTGCGAATCATTGAGTAGCTTGTGATGATTTTTAATAACTGAATAAATAAGGTACGGTACACATCCAATGGTTCTTCAAGAATAATTAATGGTGCAGCTTAGTGAAAATTTTATATTATTTGCAGAAATATGATTAAAAATAAAGAAAAAATTTTGATAAGAAGGGAATGATATTTTGTTTATTATGTAGAATAGGAGAATCAGGTCAAAATAGTTTGGGCACATGCACCCTAGACCAAGAACTACGGGTTAAATTTTGCTTGTTATGTCGGAATGTGGCTTGGAACGAGTGGTTATGGCCCGATCTGCCCAATTCCTACCCGCTTATTTTAGTATTAACCTTGGGTAGAATTCAGCCCTGGATGTAAATATGTCACTCTTGGACTTGAGAATATTAAATGGATCAATACATGACCTATTTTTTACCAAAAAAAAGTGAAAAAAGAAACAGATTGGCCCCAGAAAAAAAAGGGAATAGCTTACAGGAACACCTGCAGCATTGCCCATCTGTTGCATATGAAACCTGATCTCAAGGAAAGCCTCTCTTGCTCCAAGCAATGATTTCACAACTAACTCCTGATACTGATCAGCAACTTGTCCCATCCACTGCAAATTTATTAAATATATTAATCAACTTGCTAGTGCCTATTTTTTGTTTCCTTCATATTCTAAATACAGAAAAGATGCTAAACCAAGAATAACTTGAAAAACAAGAATTTCATTACAAGTTAGTTACGAAGAATAAAAAAAAAGAATTTCATCACAAGGGTTTCTGCTCAACCAATTAGTCTTTCCTTTTAATTACGCTTTGTTATGATTTTGAAGGTTTGTGCATATTCCCTTAGGAAAAGAAGATTCAATAATCAAGATGAAGAAGAAGTCACATTTTTAACTTTTCTATACTGCAACAATGAAGCAAAGCAGCTTCCTTGTTTTAAACTCCATTGAAAAGATTCTAAACATGACTAACAAAAGAAAACATGATGAATTTCCTAAAAATCAAATAATAAAAAAACTGCAAAATATCTCCAATACACTGTACATGATTATACCTTGTCAGGTGCATGACCACTGCAAGTACTTATGATTTGGCTGTATGCCTCCCGTTGCTCTCCAGAAAATTTGTTTAATATATTGAATTCTGCCTCAAGCTTTGAATTAGCATCTGCCAGTCTTCTCCATGTTTCTAGAGACTTCTGAGGATCCGCCTTTTGCCACTGTTTCACTGAACCAACCATTGATGGAGTAGAGGAACCCCCAGTCCCTGGTTCCCCTAGCAGCTGCAGAAAAGAACATAACTTCAACTATAGTAATTATGACACAAATCCACAAACCCTCCTGTACTACATAACCTTCTAAATAATAAGAAGCAGAAAATATCAATATCCAACGCTCTCCAGTGTATATAAACATTGAAATTAAACAAAGTGCGCCTCTTCAAGAAACCAGCTTAATATAATTGAAAAAAGATAGCGGGTTTTATGATCATCATATATAACATTCTAGAACCATGAATTATATGCTATGGATCTGTCTCAAAATCATGTTCATCCATGAAAGTATTAATATCACCAACAGGAATTGGAAAATGCGAGTTCTAATAAAATACAACAACACTTGTGATCAGAGAGTGGCATGTTACCCAAACAAAATTGCTAGTCCCATATATCATCGTGAATACCATATTTGTAGTAAAAGTAACACTATTCATCAAAAAACAGCAATTTTTTTTAATAACAAGTTGAACTCACGAGGGTCATCAATGGAGGCAGGCAAAATTTCAACTTCTCATGGTCCCATTTCACTTTAAGAACATTACTGATGTCATCTGGCAAATGGAATCCTCCTGTAACCTGTCGTTATAGAAAAAGAAACACACCCGAATTATCATCTTTATGACTAAATTGGATAACATATATCCAGACAGATAGGTAAAGCTTACACGTAACTTGGAGAAAAGGCATGAGTTTACAGGTATGATATATAACATATGAATTGTGCCACTGAATTGTGCTTTTGTCCAATTAGATATACTAAATGAATTATTAAAATGCTGCTGAGCCGAGAAAAGGTTCATGACTTATTGAAAACAAAGCTTATATAGTATGGATCATCTTAACTACATATCTCTCTGATTATTGACAGATTTGAACTTGTTTTGATACACTACGTCATTTCACTTGTTCCTGTGCTTAAACAAAGCCAACAGGTGTAAGGTGTCTGTACACACTCAAAGTTTGCCTTGCTACTTACCAACAAGTGCAAGTGCATGACTGTTAAACCTTCCCGTAATTTTCTTTCGAATTTATAGCTAACATAACTGTCAAGAATACCTGATTCTGGCACAAAACACAAGCTCATATCTTTTCAACAGAACTGATGGAATTAATTAGTTTTTTTTTCTCTACCAGTCTACCAATGTAGGTTTGTTTCTGAAGTATGAAAGTTAAGATATTTTTCCAGAAGAAGGGCTTGAGCAATACTTTTTAAGTTTTAATTCAACTCTGAAAACAGAAAGGTCAAAGATGAAAAGCACATAATTCACGGCGAGAACAAAATTAAGAAACAAGTAAACGATCGCTACAATCAGCAGATGAATTAATCAATATCTCATCCAAATAGCCACAAGATCTAGGAGTTCACCTAGTCTATGAACAATTTACTATATTAAACAGATACATAACAAGAAGAAAGAACGTCAGGAGAAAATCGAATGTAACGCTGACTACCATAGACGGCAGCACTGACATCAAAACCACTGCCAACTTTCCCTTGAGCTATGCAATGTGCACTTTGAGCTATGATATGTACCAAATCAAGATCTGAATCAACAGATTCACTGGAGATATCTATATTTGAAAATGGAAGATTAACAACTCCAAGGTAATGAAGAAGAGCTGCAACCACAGATGTGGTCATTGCTGCTGATGAGCCTAGTCCAGTCTTCGCAACCTCAGGTTTGCATCTTCCAGCAGCCCCATTGGCCTCCTCCACGTTAAATGTAATTGAAGAGAAGGGTGGAATTGCAGCCAGTGCTTCTGCAGTCAAGGGAAGCCCGTGTGCCTCGATCTAAAGTTAAGACTCGCCATTAATTCAAGTATTCAAGAACAGCCAACTTGATTATTTAATGTCCAACTAGTGTCATGGAATTTCATATTACTGGGACTACATAAAAGCCATGCGGCAATGTTCAATCCTATCTTGCAGGTGCAAATAACACTCAGAAAATGAGAGGTGAAAATACACTAGTGAAACAAGAATATAATTCACGAAGCATAGATAAACATCACATAAACATGATTCAAATTTGAACGATCAGCCTTGTTGTTTACTAATAGAACGGACATGAAACCCAATCATGTATTTGCACTTTCCAGAATCATGCTGTGCACAGAGGGTCCTAAGCAAAGTACTCAAAATGAACAGAGATCATTAAGTAGTGTACCATATAGACTAGGTAGTGCATCTAGCAGAGGGTTCTTCATTTTGGAGGATTATCTCCTTTTCTAGTTTCTCTCAAGCCAGTTTGGTACCATCACAGTGATCTGATTCCCGTATATTATTATACCTCAGCACAGTTTTATGTCCATTCTCAAACCATGCAAATTAATACACAAATTATATCTGAGGCTGCACTCTGCAGTTGCTACTAGTGATTTTAGTTTTAGCGTAACTTGCAATGTAGATAAGTGGACTTATCGACCATCATTCTGGAATTCTTTTGTTGTTTTAGGTAATACTTAACTTCAAGTCATTTTTTCTTTTACCGCAAAGCATGTTCTCAAAAATAGAAATTTACTTAAATTTTAAATTCTTAAATAATGACAAAACCTGTTGAAAATATAAAGGATATTTTGGTCATTCCTCATTTGATTTGTTTTTCTCTTTTCTCACAGCCGTTTCCTATCCTCGACCATGTTTTTTTACCTTCCCCTTTTTGCAAAATTCAATAAAACAGCTTAGTATTATATTAATTTTTAAAAATTAAAAACATTTAATAAGAATTTAGATGACCTGAAAAAAAATTTGGTCAATAAATAATTTAAAGAATTTGTGATGTCTTTTATAACTTTCTTCATTCATGATTATAAAAACATAACATTGCTATGTTGAAATTAATTAATCACAGGTTTTTCTATTGGAATTTTCTCAAATTTTGTTTTTTATTGAACATATGGCATAAAAAGATAATGTTGCGATTGAAAAAAAAGCTATAAGGAAACTTCGAAAAAAATCTACAGGATACTAAACCAGTCTGATAGTTATAACTGTTTCCAAAGATCAGATTTTATCCCTTTTATTGATGCATTTAATTCCTAAAATACCCCTAAAGTTCCCACTTATTTACAGTTCTAGGTGTGGAACACCCAAAAAAACCGCCTATCCCTTAAATAGTGGAATGAGAAAGAGAAATTTTTGGTGCAAATTTACTACACGTGACATCAGTGTTCCAAAATCAGTTTGTCGGAGCACCGAAGCTGTAATCTATAACTAACTAACTAACAATATATAGGTAGTGAGTTGGCATAATCCCCTCCACTCATTCAAATGATTGCGTATCTCCATGCACTTCTCAACCCATGTGAATGGGGTCCCCCATTTGAATGAGTGGAGGGGATTGTGCCACCTCACTACCAAGCACAAAATTTGTGTTGGGTACCAATCATACGCCATATTTCTCTCTCTCTCTCTCTTCTCTATATATATATATATATATAATATATATATATATATATATATATATATATATATATTAATATAGGCAAAAATTCTGTCAACTTAAACGTGGAGCGTCTCACTTAAGTTTCTTATCCATTGATGATCACGTTGATTGAGCTACAATTGTGGAGATCCGCTCCGTTAAACTTGATCTACATATTCTAAAACACCCACATCCTGGGGACCAAATTTGGTGTGAACTCGTTGTGGTTGACGCCTCCGTCGAGCATCGTAAAAAGTTTATTCATTCGAAACCGTTTAAATTGATACGAGTGGATGAAGGGTCAAACTACGACGGGTTCACCCTAAATTTGGTGTGTTGAGGTTTTAGATATGTAGGATCAAGTTGACGACGAGATCATCACAAATATAGCTCAATCAGTGATCATCAGATGGATAAGAAACTTGAGTGACGTCCATTAAGTTGCGAGAAAGTTTTGCTATATATATATATATATATATATATAATATATATATATATAATTATAATATATATATAATATATATATAATATTCATATATATATATATAATTCCAGAGGGTGTATCTTGCTAAAAGAACACTTTATCCATGTACATTAGACATACGTTTATTTTCTCCTGCTCGCCACTTTTCCCATGTTCTTGAAAAGAAACCCAGGCATTCTAATGGAGTAGGTTTGGTATGATTGCCAAAAGAATCAGGAAAAGATCCTAGTAATGCAAACTTGCAGAGTGTGCATATAACAGTTATAATATGTAGAATAATAGAAACAAAATGGACTTGTTATGCATTCAGAGAAGCAAGATCAGTACCTGATTTCGGAATGAATAAAAATCATTGCAACCTAGGATAGTAATATCCAGACCTGCATGACTAACCCAAATAAAATTCCAGCACATGAATTTGAGTGGGAAAGAAAACTAGCCAAATGGTGGCTCTAGACAAAGGGAAACACATAAGAAAGTGAAAGGTGTAAATCACTTAAAACCTACCTTGCAAAAGGAGTTTTGTAAAGTCATCCTTTCTCTCCTTGTCAGAGAAGATCACCTTAGAAGCTGCTACTGAGTATTGCACAGCTTGTTCTACAAAAGGGTTTACTGATTCCCTGTAATCTTAAGGAAACAAAAGTTTATTAGAAAGTGAATAAAGAAATCATGCAGTTTTTTGTCTGATTTCATCTTAAAAAAATATGCAGGATATATAGATCACAAATATAGAATATAAAGAATGATGAGGACAGATGCACTAATGTTCGGGCGACTAAAAAATATCATATAACCTTACTCTTCAAGAGGGTCAGTATGAAGCAGATTTCAAAGAGAGAAGACAACACATTGGAGGGGAACCTGAATTCAAGATCCAACAGATTGTGACATGACTTAGGTAAATCAGCGCACTAAGTCACTAACCATCATTACTTGTCATCTATGCTTTTTGCAGTCAGAATTTATCACTTACATGTTGGTTATTAAAACCCCAAAAAAGAATTAAGCAATTCATTACAAGCACTTGTTAACCTGAGTCTACCCCCCCAGATTCATAGCGCATGCAAATATGACCAACAGTGCTATATCATGAAACCTGATGCTAGATGGCCAGTTTGCAGATAAATAGACCTGCCTTTTCTGTTCATGCAGTTCAAGGTCATGAAACAAAGGAGCCAAGCTTGCATTCTCCTAGATTTGGAAGGAGGTAAGGTGAAGATATAAGATGACATTGTTACAGGAAACTGAAATCATTTCCAAGGAAATAAAAATGGAGAAAATAGTAAAATATGGCATTGCAAAAATAACAAAACAAAAATTAGATGAAAAGTTCACATTTATTGGGGTTGTGAAGGAAAAGAGGGAGGGGGAAGTAAACAGGCCAAGTGCTAAAAGAGTAACTAGAACGACATCCCAAAATAGGGAGGTAAACATAAAATGAATATTTTTACAGCTTTTGGGTTGGAATAGGAGGATTTGTGGATAGACAAAGAAAGCAGGAGGAGGTTGTGGGTGCTAATTAAGGGTCACTCAATTTACCAAAGTAAATACACCTACACATTTGACAGACAGATAAATTAATGAAATGTGATAGGTTCCATATCAGGGGAAATGAAATTTCTATAAAACGAGGTAGAGTTTTAGGGTGAACACAAAAAAGAAATTTATAATATGCTGACCTACTCGTTGAGCTAGGCTAACTTGACATTTTGAGACTTAAACCTATTAAGAAAGATTTGAAAGGCCATAAGCCAATTCTAAAAATATAAAACCCAAATCTTTCATTTTGAAAACTAATAGTTTTTGCAGTAATGCTCCATTGATATTCATACCCTATAGGTATTTTACAATTCTTAGAAACTATCAAAAATATTTTTAAAGATCTCTTTTCCAACCCAGCTGCCAACAGGACATTCTTAATGCAAAAATAGCTCTAGAATATACCAAAAAGAAAATCACCATAAGAAACTAATGTGAGGAAACATTAGAATCTACACTCAAAACTAATAAATCCGAACCTATTCATGCAATACACTTCTATTTTATAATGATGTTCATTTTAATTGTGTCACATTGAATTTGCTTGTCACTGCATGCTTTGGCTCATGTGATAATACAAGCATTTGGTTGCAGGTATATACATGATGTAGGCGTGAAAATAAGTATATAGACACCGGTAACCATAAAAAAATATTGGTCTGCATCAAATATCATGCCAATTAAAACTTGCCTTGAGGATGTGCATTGAAGAGTTGAATTTTTAAGCGAAAGTTTGTATGTAGCTTCCCGAGAAAGCTGGGGAGATGTGACTCGGACATCTGTCCATGACTGCAAAAAGAAACAAACATATCATCTAATTATTTAAGCTTCACATGATAGTTTTTAGCACGGATTGTGTGCCCTATTTTCATACATCCTTTTCTGATGCAAATATCACACATGGTAAAGAACCAATATCATCGATGTTTTGAAATCTGATCCTAATAAGGTTGGGTTGTACGTCCCCAGTAAGGTTCAAAACTTTATTTATTAAGGTCTCAGTATGTGCATTTTGCTTTTCATCAATGGATGAAAGAGTGAATAGATCAACTGACACGCTGATAAAACCACCTTCCAAAATAACTGTTTAATCTGTTACAAATTACTGCTAGAAGCATTTTTGTTGCACCTTTCACTCTACCATCCAATTCTACTCCTTGGGGTTTAAGACCATTTCAAATTCAGTGACCTTTTACCCTTGCTGACAACATTCAGAACTACATCATAAAGACTGCTGCAAATCATAATTCTACACAAAATACCACAAGAAAACAGACATCCAATAAGTAGAAATATCAAATTTGCTTGGTAAAACAC